TTGTCTATTCTTGCGGCAGCAGCCATTCCGACCTCGATGACGACACCTTCGACTCTCACGCCCATTCCTCTCCACCAGAATCTCTGCATTCTTCTTCCGTTGCGTCTGACACATCTTGTCATACCCATATCCTCACCTACCTCTCACTCCGCGGTCCTCCGAACCCCACGGACTATGCGCTTCTCCGACGCTCCTCGATTCGCACCCTGAGCTGTGAGCTTCTCCCCCGCGGTCTGTCTTCCGGCCCTCTATGTTTCGGCGACTCGGTGGCTGGCTACACGATTGCATACATTTTCCGTCTCCCAGACCCCATGGCGCGTGGCAAGCGACGCAGCTATGCCTTGGTGGCTCTGGCCGGAAAGGATGCCGGAAGAGCTTTCCGAGCCTGCCCCATCATCTGGCGCGCATTCGGTCGGATCGCATCCAGCATTGTAACTGCCGCGGAGCGTTTCCAAGAAGAGGAAAAGCGCCGCGAGGAACAGACCAGCTCCGCAAACAAAGCCGCTGGCCGACAGCAACCCCCTGTTTCCTCTTTCCTGACCGGCCGTGCCATGGACCCGACAGGTAACTCGCGACGGCTCGGCCAGATCCGTGCGCGCAATCTCGCAGAGATTGTCGGCAACGAGTACATCTTTACTGAGCTTCACGCCCACTTTGTGGCGTTACTACAGCAGCTTGGCTCGATGTTTGGTGGCGTTCCTATCTCCGACGAACGCTTTGTCTGCAGTACCGTGGGAGACGAGGCAACTGCTGGCACCGACCAGCCGGTTCTCGTTTCAACAAGTGCAGAACGCGCCAAGAAACATCAATCTACATCTAAATACGATGGCAGCGATCTTGATATGGGCAAGCTCAACATCACCTCCGGCCCTCAGCCGATTCCCATTACCACCCGCCGCTCCGTTGTGGCCTGAAGTATCACTTCATTTTTCATCCGCACCTCCTTTCGAGATACCCCGGTTGCTTTGATTTCTGCGAGGCATGTTTCCTTTCGCCTCAAAATGATCGTTTTCGAACCACGCCCTGTTCCTCCCAATTGTCCTTACATGCGACGCTGTCATGTTATGGCCTGGTTCGTTTTGCATATCTCAGCATGATCTCTTCGTCGACTTTTTCATCCTCTTCTTTCTTCTCTTCCGCATGATGATTATTTGGGCATAGACTATGGCGTCTCACAGACAAGGAGATTGGAGTTTTTTTTTTTTCAAGGATTTCTTTTCGTTGCTTTTTTCCGTCTCTTTTCAAATTGGGGTCATTCCCCCTCTCTCTTGGATGCCATACGCACATTCTTCTTTTCCAAAGACAAGTGAATCCTGCCATCTCACTGGAGTGGTAGCCGTCTTACCTTCAGGCGTTCACTCGCGCTGACTTACGACTGACCGTTTGATGATTTTCAACGAGGCATTCAAGAGACATGTATTCTATGTACTATCCGAACACGATTACCAAGCAGCCAACACTGGCTTATTTTGATTTTGAACTTATTTTTCGAGCATCACATAATATTAAATCCTCACAACTAGCCCATCAGCGCATCTGTAGCACTTAATCCAGATCGATTTGAAATGTACATCTCACCCATATAGTTCGGAGGGTGTAACTCCGGGTGAACTAACCCGTTTCGGTTCTTCCGGCCAACCGGGCCACAATCAAAAATCCCACCAAAAAGACGTCCAGGGACGAAGCAAAGACCCGCATTCACATCCCCCCTCGTTAACAGCAAAGATGGTCGCTTTCGACAAGTGTGAAACCCGGCCGGCGCATATCGATGCCATCCTCAATGGCCTCGACCGGTACAACCCCGAGACCACCACGGTCTTCCAGGACTACATCCAGCAGCAGTGCGAGGACCGATCCTTCGACTGCTACGCCAACCTGGCTCTGCTGAAGCTGTAAGTTGGTCGATATTCTTATTCTCTTCAGCCGCATTTGAAAAGCATGTGCACCGATTTATATGATGAACGAACTTTTTCATACACGTTTCCTATTACCTGACAACCTGTTGCGTACAACGGGGCAGTTGAGAACTTTCGAACTTTCTGAAACCAAACCAATGTAATCCATTGGAATTGGGGTCGCGTGTATCATGTGCTCAAAAAAAAGACTACTTGCTTTCATTGAATACAGGCCGAATCATCGGAGTTCAGCTGGGCTAACATGGCGATGAACCCATTAAATAGCTACCAGTTCAACCCCCACCTCCTCCAACCCGACACCGTCACCAACGTTCTGGCCAAGGCCTTGACCGTGTTCCCCTCTCCCGCCTTCTCGCTCTGCCTCGCTCTGCTTCCCACCAACACTCAGCCCTTCCCTGCTACTTCTGAGGCCCAGGCCGCCTCCCAGACCTCCGACTTCGTTGAGTCCGTGCAGAAGCTCGCCCGCCTCTCGACTCTCCTCGAGTCCGCCCAGTACACCCAGTTCTGGTCCACCCTGAACTCTGACGACCTCTACGCCGATCTGACTGCCGATGTCGCCGGATTCGAGGAGCTGGTCCGCATTCGCATCGCCGTCGAGGTTGGCAAGACTTTCCGCTCTATCACCGCCGACTCCCTGGAGCAGTGGCTCGATGTGCGCGGCCGTGACGCCCTCGGCAAGTTCGTCGCTGATGTCTGCGGCTGGAAGGTCGAGGGTGACGTTGTTACCGTCCCCACCAACAAGGAGAATGAGGCCCGCAGCGAGGTCAAGAGCGAGCGTGTTGGCGTCGATATGTTCGGCCGTGTGATTCGCCGCGGTTTCGAGCAGGCCGCTTAAGCGTTCTTCTTTTCTTTCCCTCTCTTCCACCACCACCAACTTTCAAACCTCAACTATTCATCTTTCCCTTCCCGTTTTAACTTTTTTTTCTCCGTCCTTTCTCGACCGTGCGAGGGAGACCCCCAAAAAAGAGAGACATGAGTTCATGAATCCCCGATCCGTCTATGAGACGGTGATAGAGTTCGCATGGAGGAGGCTCGGAGATGAGTCGGGATCTGGCGCAATCTGGCGTTTCCTTTCCTCGATTTATTTGCCCACCTTGTTTTGTATTGGGATCCTGTGTTTTGTTTCTTATCTGAAATGAGCGGATGATGACGGGATGCATGAGATGCCCATGTTCATACCATACCTCCTATGCCGAGTCACCTCGTCAAAGGTTGACCTGCTACAATATAAAACATACAGTCAATGCTTCAAAGTAAAGCTGTAGTCAACCAAGCAGGGCTAGTTAGTACTGCCTAGGCAAGTAGTAGGTACTCCAAAACCACCAGGGTATTGGCTGCCAGTAGGTTAGACTCCAGGGCTACCAGGTCAAAACAAAAGTATGCACATATGAAATCTATTTTTATGCAAGCCCTTCAAGGTTCTCCCACTGCCTGCAGCTCCCAAGCGGGGTATATCAACTACATCTATTTCATTTCCTCCCACTGCACACCAGCCCACTCCTCTCTCCAACCGACAACGCCAATCTTCTGCGGCGCGCAGTCCTTTGCACATACACCCAGGATGATAGTCCCCCACTCCATTCCAGAATCATCTTTACCCAGTCCCACGCCCTCACGTCCATCCTCAAGCACGCTAATCGCATGCGGCGTAAGTTGAAGCTCAAACACCCGCTCACTACCACAGTACTCGCAATGCGGGATACTACCTCTAGCTGTGGTGGTCACTTTACCCACGGTGGAGTCGGGGTGTAAGCGCTTGCCCACCTGGTCTGCGTAGTTATACAGTAGCGGGGCACCGCGGTATTCGTAGCGGAGGATTTGCTCCGGGTTATGCGCGAGGCGGGTGGAGAATTTCATGAAGGCCTTGTCGAGCTCTGATTCAAATGTATCCTTCAGATCGCCAAGACCAGAGGCACCTCCGTCTTCGTCCATGGGCTCCATTTGCACATTGTCCGGGACTGTTGGTGTCGAAGGCCGCGAGAGAGTCTCATACTCTGCATCCAGGAAGAAGTTCTGGTACGGGGCTGGGAAGGCGGACTCAGCGGGCCAGGGTTTCTGAGAGTCTACAGACTCGGGTGTTTGTTTGGTTGCTGCGGCGGGGTTTGTGGACGCAATGCTGGACTCGTCTTCTGGGGACGAGAGACGGACCTTGTCAGCGAAGGAATCGGCCAGCGCGTTGGTTTCGCTCTTGGTGGGGGTGGGTGATGGTGCGGGGGCAGCGGATTTTGGCGTCGCGAAGGGATTGGCCCCGGCTGCTGGTACGCCAGAGTTGGAGGAGAAAGGGTTTGTATTCGCGGAGACACTACCTGTTAGAGATGTGGCTCCAAATAGACTGGCGCCAAGGTCTTGCTTTGGTTTCTCGGGAGCAGGTGTGGGCTCGGGGGCCTTTTCGGCCGGCTTCTTCTTTTCCTCCTGTTTGTGGGCCTGGGGGTTTTCCAGGTTGATTTTGCGAGTTGAACGGTATGCGCGGATGCTTCCTGGCTTGCGATTGCATGGTTTTCTGGGACATCCGAAAAGGTACAGTCGGCGCTCATCGTTGGGGAAGTGGTCAGGGAGATCGCCGTGCAATTCGATAAGCAGGATCAGAGGTTGATTGCAGACTTTGCAGTTGGCAAAGTCGCCAGGAGGAGGGGTAGATTCATCAAGCCATTTCTATTTTCCAAGCCATGATTATTAGCATCTTGGGCATGACTATTGAAGTTGTGTTCAACAAAACCATACCGGCCAACCGCCCAGGTGACTGATTGTGTCCTCGATGACTTCGTCGTTGGCGTATCCGAGGAGAACACCGGTCTCGGTGAAGTCCTCATCGATACTGGAGTCGCTGTCGTAAGGATCCATGGCGGCAGCTTGGGAGATCAATGATCGATCAATTGTGAAGACAGCGGGGTGGGAGAGTTCGTTCAAAAAAATGCTGCGATAAGCGATACGCCCCACCCAGCCCAGCCCAGCCATTTTCTATGGTTTCCCCTGTATGGTAATTACCGTATAGGTATCCATCCCGTGCTCCATGATCGATGATCGACCTCCTCTCTTCTCCGCATGCTTCCAACCTGCTTGTATCAAATCAAGCAGCCCGCGAGGATGTATTTCACCCGGTGCTCGAGTTGCCTATGGCTTCTCAACGCATTGATCACTTTAATTCCAAGCAGCTATGCGGCTCAGCAGCAGCCGTTGCACCTAGCTACTAATGACGTCTCCAAGCGGGTCGCTATCATCGGTAGGCACCATACATAGTTCCTTACAATGCTCGGAAAACCACCAACCAATTCCCTTTACGAATCATATCTAACGAGAAGAATAGGAGCTGGAGCTGGGGGCTCATTTGCAGCATACGAATTGCGTAAACTTGCAGATGAGGCTGGTATCCCTCTCAACATGACCATATATGAGCGTGCCTCGTATATCGGTGGCCGCTCAACTACGGTCGATGCCTTTGACGACCCAGCCTATCCAATCGAACTAGGTGCTTCCATCTTCGTCCAGGTCAACGAAATACTCGTGAATGCATCACGCGATCTCGGTCTTGGTGTTCGCAGCGCCGACCACGCCCGACCCAAGGAAGCCGAGGAGTCCATCGGTATCTGGGATGGAACGCAGTTTGTCTTTACACTCAAAAATAGCTATAGTTGGTGGAACATTGGCCGGCTCTTCTGGCGATATGGTCTAGCGCCGCTCTACACACAGAACTTGATGAAGAATATCGTGGGCAGGTTTCTACGTCTTTACGAGGAACCGATTTTCCCATTCCAGTCACTTTCCGAGGCTGCGGCAGAGGTTGATCTGTTGGATGCAACCTCAACACCTGGAAATCAATTTCTTGATACCAACGGAATTGGGCAGCTGTTTGCTCGGGAGATCATTCAAGCGAGTACCCGTGTGAACTATGGTCAGAATTTGGCGGTCATCCACGGCTTGGAATCGATGGTCTGCATGGCCACAGATGGGGCAGTGTCAATCGACGGTGGAAATTGGCAGATATTCGACGGTGCAGCCAAAGCTTCCAAGGCGGGTGTGCGATTGAACACAACTGTCACGGCAATCGAACGGAAGGACGATGGTACAGTTCGAATTATTTCTCACCCGACAGGGGACTTGGACTCAGTACAGTCATCCGAAGAGGCGGAGTACGACGAGGTTATCATTGCAGGACCGCTCCAGTACTCTGGCATCTCCATTTCTCCCCCATTGGATCATATCCCTGACGAAATCCCCTACATTAAATTGCATGTAACACTCTTTTCGACTCCTCACCGTATCTCACCGGCATACTTTGGCCTTGATGGAAAGAATGCCCGTACTCCAGAGGCGATTCTTACCACTCATCCAGAGGGTGACTGGCCCAGCGATGACCCGTCAGGAGTCGGCCCAGCTGGATTCTGGAGCATCAGCACACTGCGAACAGTGACTCGAACAGCCATGAAGGATGGCGAAGAGGTCCCCGAACAACATTATGTGTATAAGATCTTCTCGCCGGAGCGACCCTCCGCTAAAATGATCGCTCAGGTATTCGACATCGAATATAATGACACCAGCTCAGTGGTCATTCCACGAACCAACACGAGCATTGGTGACCTTCCGAAGAGCGAGATTAGCTGGTTCCACGAGAAAGTCTGGAATCCGTATCCAGTTTTGTACCCCCGAGTGACATTTGAGGAAACCCTTTTGGCCCCGAGAGTGTGGTACACAAGTGGGATCGAGAGCTTTATCTCCACCATGGAGACAAGTGCATTGATGGGACGGAACGTGGCGGCGCTCATGCTGCAGTCGTGGCAGCAAAATAGTAAGCAGGGTAATCGCAGCAATGCGGCATCCTTCAAGCCGAGGACTGAACTGTGAGCTGCTCGTATGATCTACCTACTACCTTTCGTCTTGAGTCAATTATAATTTTGCATGGCAAATCCTTAGTCTGGTGTTTATTTACTGCTCAGTTTTGGAAAGTAATAGTATAAGATACCTAGGTAAGCATCGCAAAATTATACTTTGCCCAATTAGTACTAGTAGTATGTACTAGTCTACCTACTTGGGTGCCCAGAAGGTAATTCTAAAGTAGACATTGGAAATCGTGTTGTCTATGATAATACTAGTACATTCCAAGTGCAAAACACCCAAGCCACCGTGACTTAGAGTGTAGATTCATCGACTGTGGGATTGATCACATTTACAATAGACAGTCCGTAGGGCTAGTTGTACGGATGATGATATTTTCTCAGATAGAGCTGTTGTTTTTGACAAAAGACAAGATATACTACCACTCTGTCTCACTTTCACTTCCAGGATACGCCTTCTTTCTCAACTTCCAAAGAGACTTCTCACGGCGTGCGGCTACTTCGCGCTGGTGGCGGCTATTGTCCTCCACAACCGTCATCCAGGGCACATTACTTGCACGTCGTATCCTCTCACGAAGGAGAGATAGAGTCTGCTTCTGCGTTGCCTGGTCATCTGCTTGATTATTCCCACCAGCGGATTCTCCATTCTTCTTTAAGCGAGAAATTATCTGCTGATACCGTCTTTCTGCAGCCCGAGCAGAATGGTACTCTTCACTGATAGCCCAGTTAGGGTTATCAAGCTGCCCACGCACAAGCACAATACTGCGCCCTTGCTCTATAGTGTTGGATAGAACTGAGGATGGAATAGGGGTGGAAAGCTCAAGCTTGTGCGAACCGGTGTTGACAGATCGAATAATGGCCAACCCAAGACAGTTGGATGACTTGGGGTCAAGGGGAGTACAGCTTCCAGAACCAGCGAAGAGATACGGAAGCCTTTCTGGGGTCCTAACGACAAGACCCTCAGTAGATGGGGCAGTTTGTCCATTCTGTTGGTCCGATTCCATATCGATGTCTTCGTCTGCTTCAAGTTCATCATGGTTGTCAGATCCAGAGGCCACTGGCGCTGATGAGGATGCACCCCAGAGCGTGTTTGGCGAATCAATCTCCACAACTGCAACAATGGCACCCTCGATCACTTCTCGGAGCATCTCCGGGTTGATTTGAGATCCCATAACCATGATGCCTGAGATACCTTGCTTGTCACCGGCGTAGTTCACGGCAATGGGTCTTGTGCGGGAAAGCGGTGTTTCAGACCACAGTGGGTTGCTGAGACCAGCCGGATGAGACTGGTGGAAGTAGGACTGAATCTGCATTGAGCGCAGTTGGGCACTCGATCTGCTGACAAACTCAGTAGGCTGAGAAGGTAGAATGGTCATGGGCACACGAGCCTCATTAGCAGCTAGGCTTAGAGGCCCAACGACCTCGTAGGGCCCCTTCTCACTCATATACACAACATCAGATAGCCCAAGGCAGCCAATTAGCCATGTAGCTACTTCCAAGCCTTGTCCAAAGATCCATCCAGGGTAATTGACGATCAATGGGCATTGGGGGTACCTTGCCAGCAACGAGCGGTACTGGTCTAACAAATCCATGATCGCCATGGCATAGTGATCGGGGTCCTCCTTTGGTGACGTCGCGCCAATGTGGTGGGCCCTCAGAATTTGGCCGTCACGGGATCCGTCGAGAGATGGATGGGTAAATGGGGGTCCAAAAAACGGAGCCTTTAGGTGAGCAAGGTATACTTGGCCCATGGGAGTGAACTCAGGCTGGCCTGGGTCCAGGTCCAAGAAGGCGACGCCATCAGTATTAACATATCCGTTCTCAGTCTCGGGAGCTGGGCTCAATACATGGTTCAAGAGATACCGGCTAAATGTAGATTTGCCAGATGCCTTTGGACCACAAACCAGCACTCGAAGCTGTCCTTGTTTTTGAGAAAGAGCTTTCATGGAGGCACTCCATTTCTTGTCGAGATGAAGTGGTCGCAAGTGTCTTTTTAACGAGTCATCTGCCGATGTATATAGCTAAGAACAAATTAGTCGTTGGACATTATGTCCAAAGCGAAATGGGACTGCTTACCACTGAGAAAGTCCGCCGCGAATCCTTGGCCACCCCCTTGAGAGTGGCTTTATCCGCGCTGGTGTTTTGCCCATTCCAAACTCTTTGGTACAAAGGAGAGATGTCCCGAAGTCGAGCGAGTCCGTTATTACAGGACTTCAACTCCACTTCAGCCTCTCCATCCACACCCGAGACACACTTAATGACGGGTAAAGAGTGGGTTGAAGGAGCATAAACTCTGTAGGCATGTGCCGATGGATGTAACTTGGCGCCCATGAGGCTGATGACTCCTCGCTTAATCCAAATATCATACTGGCCCAGTAGTGCTAGGTTCTGCAATCGATTAGTATGTTTTGACTAAATATTCCACTCAATTGGCACATACCATCCTTTCTTTAACCCGAACACACAGAGTGCCCTCATCCGCATATAGAATAGTGTTTTTGTTGAGGCGTGCCTTGGACAAGGGGAAATTCTGGAGTTCCGTCGAGGTGTCTGCCGGGGATTCGTAGCCGTCTGCGTCACCGGCGACAGACGCGACTTCATCTTCGCTCATATCCTCTGGGACGTCATTTTGGCGCTCATCGGATAGCTCTGCCTCGTTGGTTTCTTCTTGCGCTTGAGAAACAGGCGGCTGAATGTCCTTCTTTTGCCGTCCTTTTACAGTCTCTGCCGGTGATGAAGTATCTTGTTTCTTCGACGACCTTGTTCGCGGGCCTCGAGTCTCCGTCTCACTGACCCCATTGGTCTCGTTTGCCTCAGTAGATCGTCGTGGTCGCTTAGAGGGAGGCTCCGTCACAATCTCGATGTCGACATCGTTCTTTGGTGCTGAATTCTGCGCTTGCTGCTGCCGAGCTTTGCGCGCCGCAACGGCACTCATGGGGGCTGCGGGGGACATTAATGCGGGTTCGATAGTCGCACGTTCAGTACACGTATTCCGTACCAGCAGATTGTTGCTTTTCGGCCTTTCGCTTCACCATATCCAATAATTGAGGCAATTCCTGTAAGATTGAAGATCGAGCTTGATCCGTCGGAGGTCGATAATGCGGCGAAGCTTGCCGATAAGCAAAAAAAATGGCAGAGTGGTCCGTGCACCCGCGGAGCAGAAAAAAAGATCGGCCATTCAACTCCAAACCCTTCAACATTGCAGACACTGGGAGATCAAAGATCATTGCACTGTCAATCGCCTCGGAAATTTCATACTTGGCTCTGTAACAAGAAGCTCCCGCTCAATCCTCTCCCGCGCACCTAATATTGCGGGTACCAGTCGCAACCAGCGCGCATCGCTGCGGATAACGCCGTTTAATTTCAGTGCCTCACCAACCGAACGAAGCACCATGGCCGCCTTCTCTTCCTCCGGTAGCGACAGCAGCTCGAGCCGGTCCACATCGCCTGAGCCTGACAACAAGCAGAAGCAGACACTGAAGGGGGCATCGAAGGCGAAGGATGATGCTGAAGATTCCGATTCCACCGACTCCTCCGACTCCTCCGACTCTTCAAGCTCTGATGATTCGAGCTCCGACGAAATGGACACAAGCGAGGATGTCTCACAGACTAAGAAGTGAGTTCTTCTGTGATTTGAACTCGGCCGCGCAACAAGCTAACACAAAACCTTCTAGGGTGACTTCTTCTGGATCGAAGACATACAAGGCGCCCTCCGGCTTCAAGCCCGCAAATAAGCAAGCCGCTCCGTCCTCTAGCTCCTCCTCTCTTCTCTCCGACCTGCGTGGCAAGCAAATCTATCACATCTCCGCCCCGGCATCCCTTCCATTGTCCAAGGTGAAGGAAATTTCCATGTCGAAAATCATGAAGGGCGAACCCATCCTTGAGTTTGACGGTGTGAAATACGGGATTCCAGCTGAGTCGATTACTGAGGAAGGATCGGAAGGGAAGAAGCTCCTCGTCTACGATGAGAGCACCCAGACCTACGTCAACAAGTCCGACAATGTCCCTAGTTATCAGATTCAAGAGATGTTCAACCTACCAGGCTCCGTAGGTGGAGGCCTTACTGCGGTTGAGGCATTGCGAGATACAGTCAAGCCGGCTCGACCCCAACCAAAGAAGCTGAGAATGCGCTTCCGTCCCGTTGGCAGCCTCCCCAGCGCTCCCGAGACACTTGGATCCAGCTCGGAGTCAGAATCCGAGGAGCCTTCGTTCAAGGTTCCCGCGGGGATAGCGAGGAGAAGCGCAAGAGAAAGCACCATCACACTGAGGGTGATGCTACCCAAGCAACTGGTCTTCCCCGAAAGAAGTCAAAGAAGCTCTCGGCACAAGAAGATGTACCCCCCGCAGAGGAGAGCAAGAAATCGAAGAAGTCCTCTAAGGACCGCGAGGAGAAGAAGCGAAAAAAGTCCAGCAAGGCATGAATTGGCGTTATGGTTTGATTAGCTAAAAGATATCTTTGTTACTACGATTTATAAGACTTCAATGTACACTTTACCACTCGAAACATTCTCTATGGGAGTCTCCGTTGCCTCTGATCACTGAATGGACAATTTCAAAGTAATTCACTCAGGTTGCTTGAGAATTTGTTGGTTTATCCCATCGTCTTGGGAAGAGGTCCGCAGAAACAAAGATAACGCTATCAACAACCGTGTTGAATAATCTAACCCAGATAATGGCACCTCAGGATCGTTGCTTGATGTTGGCATGGAAGTTTTCATGAACGCTGACAAGCTGCACCTTCTTGCCATCCTGACCCAAAACAGTACCTTTCTCGCCATCGTCAGAGGAACTGCGCACGGCTGCCTCCCATTCGGTTCCAGCGGCCACCTCAAGATTCTTCCCACGAGTCTCCTTGACGAAAAACCAACAGAAGACGGTGGCTAATACATCAAAGCCCATGAAAATCAGAAACGTGTTGGCGCCGACATTCTGAATCATATATGGACTCGCGAAGGAGAAGCAGAATGAAGATGCCCAGTGCGCCAGCATACTGACAGCCAAGCCCAGTGCACGAATACGCGTCGGAAAGATCTCAGGTACATAGGCCCACGGAAGTGGTCCCCAGGAGCAGTTATAGATCTAAGTTCCCATTAGCAAAGCATTTATTTGAGAAAAGCCAGTATTGAGACTTACCATGATGTCCAGAAATATCATCGCCACAGTAGCCCTTCCGGCAGAGGTCACATTAGTGGATGATTGAGTTGGAACAAAGTCCACAATCAACGCAGTAATCAGCATGCAAATTGCCATCAATGCCGATCCACTGACAAGAGTCATGCGACGACTGATACGTTCAGCGAGAACCCAAATAAAGAAGGTACAGGCGATAACTTTAACAGCACCAAACAGTCCAGTGAGTAGCATGTTGCGATTTTCATCACTGCCAGCTATGAGCTTGAAGTACTGCGGCGCAAATACAGCCAGGGCACTACTTCCAGTAGCGTTCTGGAAGATAAAGAGGACGGGGCCAACGATGAAACGAAGACGGTTAGCTGGCTCTAGAAGCTCGCGATATGAGAAGTTCTCCCTTTCGGCCTGCTCAGCCTGAAGACCGAGTTGTGTTTCAGTGAACTCTTCGCGAGTCTTTGGGGTATCGCCTCCACGGACCCAGGTGATTGCCTTCCATGCATCATCAGTGCGGTTCTGAGTCAAGAGCCAACGGATAGATTCTGGAAGCGTCAAAGTAGCGAGCAATAGAATGCCACCTGAGATTAACTGCAGGGCGACAGGAATCTGCCACTCGCGCGAGGTGCCAGCAATTGAAGGGTTCTGGGCCACACCCTAGAAAGATAGAAACGTCAACAACCGTGCCAAAAGATAAAAAAGAAAGAAGTTTTGAAGTGCAACTTACATAGTCGACCCAATAAGCGAGAAAGACCCCCCAAGCGTACAGCCATTGATAGAAAGAACCACATCGACCACGAATCTCTTTAGGAGTCATCTCTGCGGAGTACATAGGAATCACCACACTCTGGCCACCCATGCCCAGGCCCGATACGATACGGCCAACATACCAGGCTCCTAACGAGTGTGTTTTATTGACCTGGATGATCACACCAATGACGAAAAGAGCAGTTGAGCCAATGATGCATACTTTACGCCCATATTTGTTGGTCAAAGGGTAAACAAGCATGGCTGCAACGAACGAGCCCAGTTGTTCCAGACCGACAGTTAGAGACGAGACTTTGGACTTGTGGGCTGCGGTGAATCTGAAATCATCTTGAAATGACTGGTAGGTTAAGATACCACCTGCAATACCGGAATCATAGGCCGAGAGGAATGATGAGATACTAGAAATCAATAATTGGTTAACGATTTGTCCAAGACTTCCTGCCCCTGTTTGGTTTACACTTAATCATTCTAGTCAATGAGAAAACTTACAAAACAATAGCAGTCAAGTGATAGGCACGCAAAGTACCTTGTCGAGTATTCAGCTCGGGGATTGTTAGAAAGCCCATGATGATTGGGAGTGAAAGCTGCACCGATGCGAGATCAGTAGAGCCAAGGCGTGGCCATGGCGGCACATATAAAGCTTCATATCAATACGAAGGCTTGGTGAGGCGCAACGAGGATGATTTTGCGTGCTTTCTCGTTTTGCTCCAATGGAAACGATATCTTCTATAGTTGACCGTCGGATTGTGGTCGATTTTGGCCGATGGGGGCCACTGTTCTCGCCGGAAAGCACGCCTTCGCCCACAACGATGATGTTACGGAGCCGACAGGCGAGAGGCGGCCATAGTCCAACCTCATTCAATGTCATAGAACAGAATGGCTTGAAAGGATTCAAAACGCGCAAGGCATGTCCGTGCTCGAGGCCGGTAGCCGAGCTTACGACGGTAGCAAATGTTGGTTTGGTGATGTGATGTGATGCGATGCAGGGGTCCGTGGGGAGAAAAATACAGCGACAGGTGTAGAAAGCCCCCATCACTCTTTCAAGTGTATGGAGTGGAAATCATGAATCATTTTGGTAGCAACATGCCCATATTCAAAAAGGCAAGACTCGAATATTCTTACTTGCGCGAAGACATCGAGGGACCCTTTGACTATCACCACGGTCACAACCACGATCATTTAATAGTTGTACCTACATACTAGTTGGAGATCCACCTTTGACATTCCCCGTCGATCGTCCCCACCAGTGCTGGAGCTGGAGCTGAAGCTGGAGCTGCTGGGGCAGCCAGCAGCAAAGAAACCCAATATGATGACTTTTAATCAAAGCCAATCCCACAAGAGACAGCCGAAACAAGCACAATGATAATAATCATAATGGTCCAGGTCCAGGTCTCGGTCCATGGCTGCCCCTGCCATCAAAGAACGGAGATGACATAAGCATTGTCACCTGACAGCGATGGCATCAGCTGCGGTCTTCAAAGCCTCGCCGCATGTGATGCGCCTCACTTTTTGTCCCAGTTGGGTTGACACTCTCTCTGACTCACTTTCGTTTGCAAGTGCATATTTTCTTCGTCTTTGATCTTGAGTCGTGCACAGCCATGGCGCATTAGCGGAGCCTCTGATTAGCTTATCTCGATCCCGTTGACCTTAAGGTTAGCTCCCCGGCCCTCTTATCGCTAGGAAGCTCCGCTTCATCCATACATATATCATCGCCATTTCCTAGAGTACAAGCGGTTGGGCTTGCCGTTTGAAGTCTGACCGCAGAGAATCTTCCACGTTGATATGACCCCGTCAGTTGAAGACCCGCCTCTTGGCCTGACTTGACGCCGAAGCCGCCTGACGTGGGCACCCATCCTTGAGATTCCTCTATCAGCCCTGAGCTGTCACCTGCAACCTCCACCCCCCACACGGTCCCGACCGCTGCACCCCCAGGGTTCCCGTCCTAAAACGCCCTGTAACTTTCGCCCTTTCGTTTATCGTTGCAGGCCTTCTAAATCTGCTTCCTATACCCTTATACCTTCTCGATGAAGCCCTCGATAGACGACGCCAAGCGGCGGGGCGATCACCGCTTGAGCGCGAGCATGCGGCCTACTACCTCTACACATAGATACTCCTCCGATCGCCTGCCCGAGCGCTTCAAGGATGGCGATGATGCTCAGGTTGACTATACTGCACCGCCCGGGCATGGGCTCTCGGGATGGCAACGTTCACTACATGCAGCAGTCGCTTTTTGGCATGATCGCCGCAGTCGGCTCTCGGTCCGACTTTCGCGGTAGATTCGATGATTCAAGTGACAGCGATGGCGAACCCAATGAAACTCCACAAGAACTATCAAGTTTGAAGCCTGCAAGCCGAACAGACTCGCCCGACCGACTCCAACCCGGCAAAAGTGCAGAAGCAAAGGCTCCAGATGGGAGTCGAGGGCGACAACATCGAAGAACAACGTCTGAGAACAAACTATTGCGGAAAGTTCCGGGGTTTGGGTCGAAAAGAAAGAACAGACGATCCGTCCAACCTCAGTGCATCGACCCTCACAATCCAGCCAAGACGCACACGCAGTGCCACGCCACGAGCCGCTCCAATTCTCACCCGCATGGTGCAAGCACAGAGCCGTTTCGATAATGCCACTTCAACAGAAATCACACCCTCGAGGCCGGAAACCCCAAATGAAGACCGAGAAGAATCTTCTATACCTGCGCTCTCTATTCGACTGATGGAAATGTTTGGGTTTGAGAGACCGGAGAAGGTCCTAGTGGAGTATGCTTGCTCCTTCCTGCAGAGCATGCTTCTTCCGGGCTACATGTATGTCACAGAAGGGCATATTTGTTTCTATGCATATCTCCCAAAGAAGTCCAGCGAGCCTAGCAAGTCCGGCTATGTTTCGAAGCGCGGCCGAAAGAACCCCAAGTACAATCGCTATTGGTTTGTCTTGAAAGGCGATGTCTTTTCATATTATGCCGACCCCTCAAATCTTTACTTTCCAAGTGGCCATGTGGATCTGCGATATGGAATATCGGCTTCTCTGTTGGAGCCAAAGACTGATGGCACTGATGCGAAGGACTTCCAGGTCACCACGGATCAACGAACTTATTACTTCAGAGCAGATAGCGCTACCAGCGCCAAGGAGTGGGTGAAGGCGCTACAAAAAGTCATCTTCCGATCCCATAACAAGGAAGATAGCGTCAAGATCTCATTCCCAATCGAGAACGTGATTGACCTAGAGGAAAGCCCAATGGTTGAATTTGCAGAGACCTTCAAAGTTCGGGTGATTGATAGCGCAGAAACATTCGCCATCGATGAAGTAAGCCCGCGTGTTCCACCTTCCTCTAAATACTTGCTAACCTCTTCGAAGTATTTCTTTTCCTTCTTCAATTCGGGACAGGACGCTTTCAATTATCTCAGAAGCTTGGTGACCTCGTCTCCTGCGAAAAATATGCAAGAAGAATCCCCCAACAAAAGCGATGGTAAAGGTCGACTAGTGTCGAGTACTTTCGACATGGCGCATTCACGAAGACGCAGTGTTAGTGTCGACAACGATTTGAAAGGCTCTGCAGACTCATTCGCCCATTCTGCCGACCAAGGGACAGAATCATCGCGTGTCGTACAATCGCTAACGGAAACAACGGAATCTGCAAGCCAGATACTCAACCGAAGTGATGTCTTTCAATCTCCAACCATGCATTCTTTGCCCAGGCGCTCATCTGATGTGGGGGAAGTCGCCCGACGCCGGTCGGATGATACAGCTCGCTCTGCAACAGCTAGATTGAGCCATGCCGCTCACTTAGCTGGATCAAACTACCAGGACAGGAATGACGAAAACATCCCTTTCGTGTCGGGCTCTGAGAACCAGCAGATGATGCATTCCCAATACCACTCGAATGTACCTCTTAATGATCTTGTCAAAGCCGGCGCATACCCGCTTCAACGAGCTGCTGGATTCGCAGAATACTTGAGAAGTAGGTCTAAGCAGATGAGTAGTCTGCTGGCCACAGAATCAATGGGTTACATCGAAAAGGTGTCCGGAATGTGGGCTGGTGGTCAAAGGCATTATGGCGAGACAGAAGAAGTGCTGCCCGATGACAAGACTGCGGATCCCGAAGACCATGAAAGTGGCTTAAATCATGGCGATCGTTTCCGCGGGCACTTTGGTCTTCCTACAACCGAGAGATTACAAGCGACATACTATGCATACTTGCACCGGGTGCTCCCGCTCTACGGGAAGATATACCTCAGCGAAAGGAAGCTATGCTTCCGCAGTCTGATTCCTGGCACTCGAACCAAGATGATTCTCCCTCTAAGAGACATTGAGAATGTCGAGAAAGAAAAGGGATTCCGATTTGGATATCATGGACTAGTCGTCATCATTCGCGGTCACGAGGAGCTGTTTTTTGAATTCAAGAGCGCTGGCGCTAGAGACGACTGTGCCGTCACCTTGCACCAAGACCTCGAATCGGTCAAATTCCTCATGGAATCAGGTATGCTAGCAGAAGAAGAACGCGAAGAGGTTGAAGCTGCGAAAGATGAGCATCGTCTTTTACAAGAAGCTAGACTTGATGGCCCCGAAGAACACGATTTCCGGCCAACGCTGAGCGAAGATTCGTCTGAAGTGAACCCGTTCTTTGACGATACTCGTGCTTCCATCATAAATTTCAAGCCTACCGAATCACTCAAAATCACCTGTCTCACTATTGGATCTCGAGGTGATGTGCAGCCATATATTGCTCTTTGCAAGGGGCTTCTTGCTGAAGGCCACAAGCCAAAGATCGCGACACACGCTGAATTTGAGCCTTGGATTCGGAAACACGGCATTGACTTTGCTCCTGTAGATGGGGACCCCGCTGAGCTGATGAGAATCTGCGTGGAGAACGGCATGTTTACCTACTCTTTTCTTCGGGAGGCCTCGGTCAAGTTCAGAGGGTGGATTGATGACCTTTTGTCATCATCTTGGGCGAGCTGCCAAGGCAGCGATCTTCTGATAGAGTCGCCCAGTGCTATGGCTGGAATTCACATCGCAGAGGCTCTTCGAATTCCCTACTTCCGAGGTTTCACTATGCCATGGACAAGGACTCGCGCCTACCCGCATGCTTTTGCAGTGCCAGAGAATCGCATGGGAGGGGCCTACAACTACATCACCTACGTCATGTTTGACAATATTTTCTGGAAGGCGATTGCAGGACAGGTCAACAGATGGCGAAACAATGAATTGGGGCTCAAAGGTACCAGTTTGGACAAGATGCAACCGAACAAGGTTCCGTTCCTGTATAATTATTCGCCTTCCGTGGTACCTCCACCACTCGACTATCCGGATTGGATCCGTATCACTGGGTACTGGTTCTTGAATGAAGGCTCCGACTGGACACCCCCTGCTGATCTGGCAAATTTCATCGCTCGAGCTCGTGCGGATGGCAAAAAGATCGTGTATATTGGATTTGGGTCTATCGTGGTCTCGGATCCTGCCGCACTGACAAAAACCGTCATACAGTCGGTTCAGAAGGCAGATGTTCGATGTATTCTCTCCAAAGGATGGTCGGATCGCCTTGGAGATCCTTCTAGTGTTAAGGCTGAGGTTCCTCTACCACCAGAGATTTTCCAGATCCAAGCTGCACCCCACGACTGGCTCTTCTCGCAAATCGATGCGGCTGCCCACCATGGAGGGGCCGGTACCACTGGTGCCAGCCTTCGAGCCGGCGTACCTACGATCGTGAAACCATTTTTTGGTGACCAGTTCTTCTTTGGAGGACGAGTCGAAGACTTGGGCGTTGGTATCTGTATGAAGAGACTCAACGTCAGCGTCTTCTCCCGAGCGCTCTGGGAAGCAACGCATAGCGAAAGGATGATCGTCAAAGCACGAAATATGGGAATTCAGATTCGAAATGTAAGTTCACGAGGTAGTATGAGAAGTAGATATGACACTAACATCGATGCTTCCCTAGGAGGATGGTGTGGCTACTGCAATCCAATCTCTCTACCGTGATCTGGAGTATGCCAAGACCCTCGCGAAACAACGCTCAATCGCTTCATCTACCCCTTTCTCGCCAACCCCTTCCGCGAGGGCGGCACCGCATCATGATGATGACGACGATGATGACATTGAGGAATGGACTTTCGTATCTGACGTTGAGAAACTGACCCCCGGCATCTTTAAATGACACCATTCACCAGCACCTTTTTTCCACACTGTTTTGTTTATCTCATCTTGGAAACCTGGACTCCTGCTCTAATGATTTAATGAGCGAGAACTTCCATGACTTATGACTGCATGATACTTTTTTGATGGAGTTCATGGCGTATCCTACTATACAGCGTGTTTTTGGCTTGACATTTTGGGCATGATTGAATACACCCCGCTTTTATTTATAATCCCCTAGACCTCTTCTTACTGCAGAGCTGCTTTCAATCAATCGTTTCGTTTTCCGCTATTCATTGTGGATACTTTCATTAGACTACCCCCACGAAGCCCCGCCATTTAACCACTTTTTGTTACTCCCCGGACTACTTGTACTCCGGGGCTGCTACTTACTATCTTTTAGATGCCGAGAATCCCTGCCGACTTCCCATATTGCGAGAACAGCGGGGATACTCTTGATAACCCCACATTTCCCCGCATTTCTCCAGCGATGAAACTGCAGGACGGTTCAAAGTTGCACCAGTTAGGCATGAGTAATTTTCGCCAAGCGAGATCTCCGAAGAACAAGGACGCGGAAAAGGCTGTTCTGTGGTAATCCGCCCGATGTCCCTTCATTTTGAGCTGATTAGGTTTGGAATAAACTACCGCCATTTCTTACCGGAAGCTAATTCATCTTCGAGGGGCCCTCTTATTAGTTGTGTAGTGCATACTAGTAAGCAGTCTCAAGTTGTTTGTTTGGTATTATGAAGGGGTAGATATGCTAGGGTTATAGAGCAGCTACTAGTACCCCCGAAGTGCAACCGGTATCACAAGTACTTACCTTCAGGCAACCGATCTTTGAACGCTGGAATAAGTAGCTCTCGAATTACCAGAATGGGGTTTGGAAAAGTAAAAGCTGCGCTGCTATCCCTCAATCTGATCGTCGGGACTCCGGCTTCAAATCCATTATCCTGCACGAAAGACATATTTGCCTCTCTGACTTTGGATGCCATTCATGTTGCCTCTCTCAATGTCACTGCCGCTAGCGGACTTCCAATTAGCGGGTACTTGAGTACCGACGACGACACTGGAAGACGCAGGCAAATGCCACTCACTGTGGATATTTGCTTGGTTACATTGACATATACGCACCCTGGAACTGGTGATAATGTCCACACGTATATTGGGCTTCCGCTCGATGCTGAAAACTGGAATTCACGATTCCTCATGGATGGAGGTGGGGGTTGGGTGGCAGGAGGTCAAGAGCAGGTTCTCACGCCTGTTGGGCTAGGTTATGTGTCGTCCTCGACAGACGGAGGACACAATGCATCTGTCACTACAGCCGAATGGGGACTGAAAGCCCCTGGGAAAACGAATTGGCCTGCTCTTGAGGACTTCGCAAGTAGAGCATTGCATGAAGCTGCGCTTCTTGGGAAGATGGCCATCAAGTTATACTACAAATCTGAGCCTCGGTATTCCTATTGGAATGGCTGCTCTACGGGTGGTCGTCAGGGTCATATGATGGCCCAGAATTACCCCGAGCTCTTCGATGGTATAGTTGGGGCTGCGCCAGCTATCAATTGGGATAAATTCATTACGGCTGAATTTTGGGGTGCTTTTATGGCGAATATCCTTGGTAAGTTAAAAAATATTCCCCCAATGACCATAATAATAGACGCTGATATAGTACGCACAGATGTCCAACCTCCTTCCTGTGTGTTTTCGGCCTTTAGAGATGCCGCAATCAAGGCCTGCGATCTTCTCGATGGTGTCAAGGATAACATTATCGCCTTACCAGGCCAATGTCACTTCCGAGCTTCTTCAATTATTGGCGAAACTGTGGACTGTATCGAGCCAAATGGCAAGATCACGATCACGAAAAAAATGTCAGACCTGGTACAAGCCATGTGGGACGGTCCACGATCAGCAGAGGGCAAGTTCGAATGGTACGGATTTCACCAAGATACAAACCTGTCGGCCATTCTCTCCCCATCATGTACTTCGGTGGATAGCTGCACAATGGTGCCTTTTAGCATCGCAGATGATTGGGTAAAAGTATTTCTAGAGCGAAACGCCAATTTTGACACCGAAACGCTTACGCTTCAGGATTATACCCGTCTCTTTCACCAATCTGTGGATCAATATGCCTCGATAATTGGTACGGAAAACCCGGATTTGACGAAGTTGAAACGAGTCGGAACTAAGATGATTACTTGGCATGGTATGCAAGACCAATTAATTATGACCAATGGCACTGTTGATTATTACAATCGTGTCATGAGCGGGGATCCCGATGTCGCGGATTACTATCGCTTCTTCCTGGCGCCTGGCGTTCAGCACTGTCATAGTGGTGCGGGCTTTGACCCTAGTGCCACCACCTTTGATGTATTGAGAAGCTGGGTTGAAAATGGGACAGTGCCAGAGACATTGAAGGCCACCGCTGCGGCAGTTGGAAGCTCGAATACCTCTTCTACGCGAACGGGCAACCTCTGTTTGTATCCCAAAGTCTTCACCTACACTGGAGACGATCCTAATGAGGCATCTTCATTCTCGTGTGTTTGAACACATAAGACCATTTGTCAGATCAACACTAGATAGATGAAGGAACTTGAACAAACATCTTCTCTCGTCCACAATTTGATCCCCGAAAGTTACACTCAAATATACTTTCTACGCTAGGCAAGAATTCCAAATTGCTCTTCTTCCAAGGTTATCTTTGAGTGTTGTGAATATAGTATTTTGTATTTTGGTGCCCAGAGATCTGTTATGAAATAATCTAAGCCTTTTGGCCATCACCCTTGCCATCGGCCTTATCTTTCCGCCGTTGCACAACGTCCCAGTTATAAACACGAGCTGTAGCAACTTCGAGAGTCTACAGGACACAAGTCAGCAAAAAACATCCCAATAGAGGATAAATATCGCTCTGCCTCATAGCAGCAACATACTGTAATCTGCTCACGCAAGAACTCCAGGTCCTCCTCGCAGTTAGCCAAGCTTGCCTCGGCAGCAGTCAATTTCTCAGAAAGCATGGTCTCGGCCTCGTCCAGCGGGTACGCGAGCATGACATTCGCACCGAGCCAGAGGTAGACTTCTTCCATATCAGTTGGGGAGATAGAGGCGCGAGAGTAGAGGGTATCGTTGAGCTCGAAGTTAGTTTCGAGGTCGGCATCGGGGTTGGACTGCGAAAAGAAAAAAGTCAGATATCTTGCGCTCAATTTCCATTTTCCTTATTTCCCTTCCTCTTTCTTCCGGGCTGGGGTTACATACTTCCTTGCGCAATTTCAAGAATCGCACCATCTCCAATGTCTTTTTGATATCCGGGATCTTCTCGCGCAGTCCGGTACCGCGGCGCTGGGTGTTGACCTCCATAAACTGATACTTGGAGATCATCTCCTGGAACGAGCGGAGGGTCGGCTCGACCTCATCGCGCGAGGAGACGTAGTCACTGACATTGTCGATGAAGGGTGCTACGGGGATTCCGCGCGGGTTGGTTTGTGTTGTTACCGGCCTAGCGACATGGAGGGGTTAGTCGAGGCATCTTGGGAGGAGCAACGGTCATTAGCGGGCAATGCCCGAAATGGGGAATTGTGGCATCGGAAGCATTGAAGATCGATCGGGCGCAATTGATTATGGGGATTAGTGTACTCACGCTTTCGACTTGGAGTCCGCCATGGCTGTGTGAGGTGGTTGTTAAGAAGTGAAGTGGGGAGAGCTCGTTCCAAGCGCGAGTTTCGGGGCTTCCGCTCTCTTCTCCGCCGATCCAAGTTCGCTCGTTACCTTCAACCTCCACGGCGCGCCGCCTCCACCTTTCGACTCGTCCAACGAGATTCACCTATTATGGTCCTTCTCAGAGCAACGGATCATATTATTGCTGCCCTTGAGGCAGTCTCGGCTTCTCGCCGGGAAGAGCTCGAGCTCCCTGCCACGCTGGAGCTTCACGGGCCGATTGCACATGAGCAGCTCCTCCGTCTATCGAAGTACCTCAGACAAGACGCCGAATACAATACGTCACACAGCAACAGCCAGAATCTAACAATCCTCACCTATCTTCTTCGCGGCACAAAAGTCTATGTTCCGCCTCCACCAAAGAAACCAGAGCCGGTACGTCTCCCAAAGGCTACACCTACAATGCAGCATCACTGACATAGTCGTAGAGCGCGGAATATCTCGCCTCCAAGGCACGCCTTCTTGCCGCGGCCGAACAAGCCGAATACCAACGCCTTCTTAACCCAACCTATACCCTCGGCCCGGATCACGCAGACCCTTATTCCGCCGACAATGCGCCTGCCTTCTCCGAAGACCCTCTCACCCCATCCCTCGTCCTAAATATCTTTCTTTCGGTCATTATCACCGGCTTCAGTGTCTACTGGGCCCTGACGAAGTTCACGATGCCGCAGATCCTCGCCACGATATTTGCAAGGTGGACCGGGCCGCGTGTTGATGATGAGTATCGACCGGCTAGTACGTCGGATGCGGTGCGGGTGCTTTTGTCGCTTTTTGCGGCCTTGGCGGTTGCTGTTGCGGAATCTTTCTTGTATGTCTTTTATATTGGGAAGATTGAGAGGGCCAGGGGTAAAGAGAGGAAGTTCAAGGAGCGGAAGGTCTTTGTTAAAGAGGTTGACGGTGATGCGGAGACAGTTGAGGATGTCACGGTTAGTGTTGATGAAAAGGAGAAAATATGGGGCAAGGGTGTCAATGGAGGTGTAAGGAGGAGAGTACGAGAGAAATGGGAGAAGGAGAATGATAATGATGCTCAAGGAGAGAGCTAGGTTTAAAGTGTACGACTTAATTATTTCTACATAGTGTACTATACTTTCGGATATACCCCACAATTTTGAGAACATGAAGGGCTGGAATTGATATGAAGAATAAAATGATTTTTTGGTAGTCTATGGCTAAGCTACAACGCGCTGTCATTACTCTAACGGGTATGAATGCTGTTCAGTCATTAGTGCTCGTCACAAGGGTCACTGACCGAAAACGAGATGCGGGAATGAGGTGAAAGGAAACATCAAAAGGTGGTGGTGGTGCTGGTGGTGCTAGTGGCGATCTGCCAAAAGGTCAACTTGTCCCAGGTTCGGAGACAAAGGAGATGCAGGAGAAGATAAATGAAAATGGAGGGTAGATCAAACTCGTTTCTCCAGGAGGAGCTTGCCGGCCGGGCCCTTGTCGCCAAAGTTGTTCTCGCGGCTGAAGATCCGCTCACCACGGAGCCAAGTCTCGCGAACCATACCGCGCAGCGTGCGACCCTGGTAAGGAGAGCACTTATTGCGGAAAAGCATGGTGCTGGGCTCGACGACCCATTCGGCAGAGTCGTCGAACACACAGATATCAGCATCGAAGCCGACACGCAGGTCACCCTTGCGGGTCTCCAGACCGACTTGGGCGGCAGTGTTGGCACAGCAGAGGCGGACAACATCTTGCAGGGCTTTCTTGGTGTTCTCGTCCTCGTTGGGGGTCAAGCCCTTGCGGCGGCTGAGTTCGGTCCAGAGAATAGGCAAGCCGAGGCCCACGGAGGAGATGCCACCCCAGGCGGAGAAGAAGTCGCCGGTCTCCTCCTTACCGGTGTCGAAGTAGCCGGGAATGTGGGAAGGCAGTTGCTTCAGGTTCGGTGTGCAAGGAGAGTGGTCAGAGACGACCGTCTTGATGACACCGTCCCCAGCGTGCTGCTCCAGTTCATCCCACAGGCCATCCTGGTTAAGCTGGGAGCGAATGGGAGGGCAGCACTTGTGGCGGGTATCACCATCACGGATTTGCTCGGAGGCCAGGGATAGATAGTGGAAGCAGGTCTCAGCAGTGACCTTCACGCCGCGGGCACGGGCTTCGCGAAGGATGGGAATGGCCTCCATGGCGGACAGGTGAACAATGTGCAACTGGAGATTGGGGGCAAGGTGAGCCATGGACATGATACTCTCAATGGCGCATGTCTCAAACTCTGAGGGTCGCGAGTCCAGGAAAGTCGAATAGGCCTCGAGGGGACCAGTCGGGGCAGCTGGAGGGTCGGATGACTGGGCCTCATCACCAACGGACTTGGTGATGGGAGGCACCATCTCGGCGTGGAACATCAAGGTCGTGGGCTCATCTGCAAGCTCAGCCATAGCCTTTTGGATATCCTTTTGGCCAACAGCGGGGAACTCATCCACCTGTAGCGGAGTATATTAGTATAAGCCGTGGGAGTCTTGTGGATAAGATGATCACTTACGCCACTATCAATCAAGAAACCCTTGAAACCACGGACACCCTCTTGGACAAGTCCCTTGAGCTCGTGAGCATTTCCGGGGATAATACCACCATAGAAACCGACATCAACCCAGCACTTGCCCGAGGCAGCGTCGAGCTTCTCCTTCAGACCGGCCACAGTAGTGGTGGGTGGGATAGCATTCAGAGGCATGTCAATCACGGTGGTAACACCGCCAAAGGCAGCGGCCTGGGTACCGGTGTAGAAGCCCTCCCATTCCGTACGGCCAGGTTCATTCAGGTGAACGTGAGCATCAACCAAACCGGGAAGGAGGACGTTGGGGGAGTAGTCGGTATAAGGAGTGTCGGCGGGGAACTCCGAAGCCGGGATCACGGAATCAAAGACGGCAGTGATCTTTCCAGTGGTGCGAGAGATGACAACTGTGGCCGAGGTCAGACGGCCGGAAATAACGGCACGCGAGGAGGCCACCACGGCAATGGAGGGGATGTTAGCTGTCGCCATAGTAGCTTGTCCGGGGGGCTTGCTCTTGTTTGGTTGCAGGCCAATAGAATATCCCAATGCTTGACTCGATAGGATGAGTGGAGTAGTAGACAGAAGGGTAGATCCCTAGGTATGTATAGTATAGAAGAGAAGATGAAAGAAAGTAAAGATGAATTGAAGCGAGAGGTCCAGGTCCAGGTCCAAGTGGGATTGGATAAAGATAACAGTGAAACGAGAGGCTTATCTGGAGGGGGAGTGGGCAGGCTGGAAAAAGAGGGACAAAGATAAGACAGGATCCGGGGGAGGGGGATATAAATAACTGAGAGGGGCCCAGTCCTATGAAAAAAAAAATAGTACGGAGTACGAGGATGAACGGAGAAGTGCGCCGGCCCACCTTTTGGAGGCATGTTCCACCGTGCCGAGTTGCGAATTGCCATCGAGAGGAGGTTGTGATTACTCGATGATGGGCAATATGGATCGGGCCAGCCAGTCCGGGCAGTGCTGCAGCCACATGATCAACCGTATATCCTCGCCTTTGCCTAATTAAGAGAAGTCTGAGCGCAGGTACCATGTCGGAGAAGTCTGCACGAATTGCCAATGGGATACAGGGTGGTTCCTAATGTTCTTCCTAGAACATGGTATCCCCATATTGTATCTGCGGTGATCTCCTAAGGACTGGGTACTCTGGGTACTCTGGGATACTCTGGGTACTCCATACTGTATGTCGCCTCCTGGTCTTGCGGATCCGAACCGTGGTTCTGAAAGGGAAAAAGTCTTCAGCGATGTCGCTGGTTGGATGAACCAAAGTGGACATGGAGGATCCTAATCGGTTATCGACAAGTCTGTGAGGGACTGTGAGGGACTGAGGGACCGTTGAGGCCCAGCGGTGGAAATGCATCGGGCACCTCCGATGGAGCTTTCCCGGCAGACCGCGTGCTCTCACTGGATCCTTGACTTGCCGACTTCTTTTTTATCAGTGTGTTACTCGATCAAAACTGTCCGCTGTGCCCCGACTCGACATTCTTTTTACTCGATTGAAACCACCACAAAGAGGAAAACTCTGCTTGATCTCCGAGGAATCTGCCCGTGACCGACTCCTCTCTTCTCCTCTCTTCTTCTCTCGTCCCCTCCCCCCGCCTGATCCTCTCCCCCTTCGGCGGTCTCCGCCCACACCGGGATGGACTTGGTGGTTTTCATCGAGTAAAACAGCGCACTTGGAGGTTTAATATCTCTTCATATGAAGAATTCTCATCATCATCATGATGAAAGAGGGAGATGATGAAGCGGGGATGGCAAGTGGAGGTGGATATGGTTATGGAAGGAAGTGGAAGTGATTCTCCCGCTGGGGGATCAAGGGGGGTCGAACTCAACTCTGCTTATGACATACCTACAAAAATGTGCGCCTCACGAGTATACGTTGGACACTCAGACTGTGCGCATACTCGTACCTCCAGAGTGCTTGATTGCGCCATCCCCCGCTCCAATTGTTGGTCCTGCGGAGTCGATCAGCATCCACTGGCAGCATGCTTAATGCGACGTGCTGAGATACCCCTGTCTTACTATTTGCTAACTATTTGGCCTTGAGTCTTTATTTTCAATCACCGCAGTAATCGGGCATGTCCTCAGTCCGGACATCCATTGAAATTTTGATATTTGCCGATGATATTGAGAAGTGTTGTGCCTTGGGTACACAGCATGGCAGCAACCCTACTGAAAGCCCAATGCAGATGCCACCAAAAGGAAATTTAGAAATTTACTGATCGGCAGGACCTGAGGGGCTTGGAACATAGCGAACATCACATCCATAAAATGACTAGATAGTCTGAGAAGTTAAGGAAATACTTGCTACTTCCATCTGCGCCGTGCCTTGCCTCATGCCCGATACCCCCTTCAACCATAAGGCCCAAACCCACATCTTCAGATACTAGTAACTGCCACTGCCAGTCCACTTATGTAGTCTTAGTTCGGGAACTCCACTCTGCCTGTCACTTTTTTTTTTGCGAGATTGGTATCGTAGTGAATCAGGATGGCCGTTCTACTGCCGAGGGAATCGACCGCTAGATGGTCTTTTCTTCGCTCACTTCGTCCTCGCACTGCTCAGTGATCTTCTCCAGAGAGCTTACGCTCTTCGCATGTGCCTTTGCAGCCCCTCCAGTGTTCTGTTGGGCATCCTTTTCATCTTCCTTTTCACCCTCACCTCCATCCTCTTGGCTGTCCTCCTGAGTGGTCTCGGGGTCTTCATCCTCGTCACTCGCCACATTCAACTTCTCCAGGTCTTGCTTGATATTCTCATCCAGGTCTCGTCCGATGATCATAATTTGTTCCTCGTAAGAAGGATCCTCGTAAAGCATATCGAGCCAGTGGAGCATGTCACGCCATGCACTTGGGAGGATACATTCGGTGTAGCAAGACTCTCCCGAAGAGTAACAGTTGCATCCATGCGAGCGATAGCCTGAATGGCGGGTGCCCAATTCTTCATCGGACATCACGTATGCCCGGCATCGAGCAGACAGGAAGGCTGTGAATGATTTCGGATCGGCCAAAGTGCTCATGTCAATATCGGCGTTGGTGCTCTGGAGAGGATCACCCAGGCAAATTCCGGAGATAAAAGGTCCCCAGGTTTCCCCTAGATCATATTTAGCAAGAAGGAAGTTGAGATTGGTCCGTTTTTTTCCCCGGTGGATATCTCACTTACAGTTGGCCTCAAGGTATTCAATTGCGCCTAAACCTCCCTCCGACATGCCGATAATATCAATGCGAGTGGCCTCACGGATGCATGGCCGAAGAACCTTGTTGAAGACATGGTGAATGTGTTCTCTCCAATCCTTGTTACCGGGGATCTTCGTGCGCCAACTCATGGCTGGTGGCCCCCAGTTTCCGGCAGGACGGGGAAGAGAAGCCCAGGTGATATTTGTCACGGCACGAGAGTAGAGGCAATTCCAAAGTAACTGACCAGTGTTTGCCAGAACGAGTGCATTGCCTGTTTTGCTGCCATCTTCTCCCAGGACTGCCCTCGCAAAGTCAACGGCAGAGCCCTTGTTGATTTCTTCTTGGCCGATGATTCGGTAAGCCCAGACCCCGAAGTCTTGTACCGGCTCTCCAAACACAACGATGATGCGAGAGGCCGTGCGGAGATTTCCAGACACCATGATGGGCACGTGTGCTTCGTCGGGGCGACTTTGAACTATCTGTCCATCGGCCTTTTCGCGAAGGGGCAAACGCATATCTTCAAGCCCGGCATCATGTAGACGTGTGTTAATCAACTCGCGGATACAATCTGTAGGAATTAGCCAGAATCATACGCATACGCAGATTCTCCCAGTCGTACCATTCATTGCCTCGCGGTTTTTGACGTTGAAGCGGTCATTTCGGTTGATCTTGTATTGGAAACCTGCTTCTGGGTCGCTGATCTTACGAATTTGGTCGTTCTCTGTGACGAAGTACCTGAAGAATGAACAATGTGTAAGCGAGGCCGTGATAAGATGGGATATGTTCTTACCCCATTTTCTTTAGATCCGAGGGATAATAAGGATCCTTGGGGAGATCCTTGTTCCGATAAATGAACATTGTGTTGAATGTGAGTGTGATAGTTGAGGATATGATTCGGGGAGGGCCACACTGGAATGGTTGTGAGAGAGAGTGGAAGAGAGAGTGGAAGAGAGAGTGGAAGAGAGAGTGGAAGAGAGAGTGGAAGAGAGAGTGGAAGAGAGAGTGGAAGAGAGAGTGGAAGAGAGAGTGGAAGAGAGAGTGGAAGAGAGAGTGGAAGAGAGAGTGGAAGAGAGAGTGGAAGAGAGAGTGGAAGAGAGAGTGGAAGAGAGAGTGGAAGAGAGAGTGGAAGAGAGAGTGGAAGAGAGAGTGGAAGAGAGAGTGGAAGAGAGAGTGGAAGAGAGAGTGGAAGAGAGAGTGGAAGAGAGAAGGATGAGGGAGAGAGAGAGAGAGAGAGAGAGAGAGAGAGAGAGAGAGAGAGAGAGAGAGAGAGAGAGAGAGAGAAAGCGTATGTGTATGTGTATGTGTATGTGTCTGCATAGTGGCGGCAGGCAAGAGACACAAAGCAGTCGCTCCTTCCTCAATGATTGTGGTTGGCGTTGGAAACTGTGAATGAGAGCAAACTGTCACCTAAAGAGAAAATAGCATGCTATCCTCTCAAAGCGGAAGCCTTAAAATGACCTTAGAAGTAGAGATGATTATTTCTCCAATTGAAAGAGAAAAAGAAGATATCTTTAAATGGTATTGCATACTATACAGGCTCCAAATGAAGCGAAGACGAGAACGCCGTGGCACAGCCCGGCCAACCTAAAACTTTCATATTGACATTGTTCTCCCGCAAATCTCCAGCTTACCAGCTAGCCTTCTTGACTCCTGGAAGCTCACCCGCAAGCGCTTGCATGCGGAATTGGAACTGTAAAACGCCTGTATTAGAAACACTAACGGACGAACACCATCCACTCCGGCAAAGGGCACTCACTCGATTGATTCTAAAGTCACGGAATACAGCACGCGCAGTTCCTGAGGCCACACAGCGGTTCTTGATCTGGGTTGGGCGGGTGTAGGCGTGCATCTGGGAGAGCTGGAGCTGAGCCTGGGCGCGAACTCGCTGGGGAAGGCTGGTGTTGCGGATCAGGTAGCGGAGCGCTTGGCTAGAAAGGTAGAATACGTTAGAAACTATAAGCTAATCGGTTTCCTTGGAAGGCTTCTGAGAAGAAAGCAATCCTCCAGTCATGCGCGGAGTGGCTTACCGTTCGGGCTCGGTCTGTTCAACGGCATTGCGCTTGTTGTGGTCACGAATCAAACGGGTGTTGACAAACCCAGAGAGATCAAGCTTCTTAGGGCGGAACATAGACGCCATTTTCGACATGTTGGCGGTTGTTCGTCGGAGAAAGGACAGGCGATCTGGAGAAGTACGGTTGGGTCCCTGTCGAAGCGGCGCGGTTGGCAAAAAGATATGATTACCTGATCGGGTTTAGCGTATCATCAGGATTTCCACGCCGACGGTCCGGAAGTCATGACTCGAGGTACGAAGTAGTATTTGGCCCTTTATCTCTTGAGCTATAAAGGACGGCTGTGTGGGAATTTACAAAAAGAGGAGAATATCTTCCAGATTCGATCGTTCTAGATAGTCGACGGTAGAGGGTTCAGCCCGTTTAACCCGTTTAAACCGTACAAACGACCTCAGCCCTGAAGGTGCTAGGATTGTGGCCGGACATAAGCAAGACTACATTCCTAATCTACAGAGCTCCGAATACTAGTGTCCCATTGAAACCGGGCTCAGAATATTCTGCTGGACAGCAGTAAACGGTTAAACCAAGTCTCATACTCAAGGGGTCGGCACTCGACAGGCGCAATGCAATAGTGGTACAGCTTGTGAATTGATCCAAGTCACCCAGCAGGGTATCTTCTATTTGCTTGGACAGAGGGGCAAACTGCCCGCGAACTTAAAAAACAACAAGTGCGGTCTGCGACCGAGGTGCAAATATATCTTCATTCGCCTTGCTCGTCGCATCGGCTCGATTTGCTCCCGACTCACGCCACTCAGGGTGGCTTCTCACAGCGCTTCAACATCGGTCAATAATTTAGTGGCCGGCGTTACCAGACTTGGCGTTGGGGTTGCGAGGGTCGTTCTTGAACTCGGCAGCTGTTGATTTTCGATGGTAAGTAAAAGGTTTTGCTGGGCCGCTCGCTCTCCGAGTATAACAGTCGAGAAGAGTCTCCATGCGGGTATTCGGTAAAAGCCAAACGAGTATTCGAAGGATCACAGGATCACTTACTGTTGGAGAGAACGTTCTGCAGAGAGTTGACGCCGTAAAGGACGATGGCACCTAGAAAGGAGTCTTGTTAAAACACGGGGTTCACATAGGTTCACGGGCGGGTTCATCGGCCAAGACCAGAGATCGAATGTTGAGTCCATATTCAGATCCGGGACATGGCGGCATGGACGAATAATAGATGGGTAGCGTACCGGCGGCGAAGAAGGGAGTCATGGGCTTGCCTATAAACGGGTGTGTTAGTCCTAAGGTTCTCGCATTCTCACAGTGCTGCTCGGCGACATGGCAGAGCTATTTTGTGCAATAACTTACCCAGGAGACCGGGGAACTTCTTTCCAAGGAGAGACATATTGACAGGCGGTGCGAATGCGAGGTGGTTCGGTGTTCGCGGGGGAGGTTAAGGTGGTGCAGGAGGAAGAGGAGATGTGAGGTTTGGCGGGAGTTTGCCCGGTCCGCACCATTCCGTTTCGGGTATGGACCCGTGGCTGCTTTACCGATCTAACCCGAGTGTGTTTCCCCCTCATAATCATAAACAATGCACGTCACTCCTGGCTGCAATTATTGACTTCTGCCTTTTCGTTGTCGATTTCGTGCACCATGACTTCCTCACTCGCTGCATCGGTCACATCACTACAGTCATCGCTCCAGCTTCTCGACAATTCGATCACAACCCTGGACTCAGGCGTCAATGATTTCCCCCGCTTGTGCAAAGTCCTCCAAACAACACGGGTATGAGGAATAGAGTTACGCGCCTCTACAAGATTATATTCGTGACTAACCAGCTTCAATGCAGCACTTTGAGCTCCTCCCGGAACCCACTCTCCGCGAAGCTCAGCAATCTCTCCTTGACGAAATCACCCCAAGTATTGCCCACCTCCTCTCCCTAGCGTCGAACCACGTTGAGAGACTATCACGCCGCGAAGAAGGGTTGAAAGCGAAATGTGACTTGCAGGAGGGTCGTCTTTCCTCAAAATCCGAAGGTCGATCTTCGGCCACCCGGGATCAGAACAAGGCAAGCACCAATGCGCGGGGTCAGTTGGCAGGCTCTGGTAATGCTGCCTCCAAAGCAGCAGAGCTGCGCAGACTTGTGCAGAAGAAAGAACGTCTCAAGTATGCTGTTGACCGACTTGAGTTGCAAAGCACACAGCGTGAGCGCCAGCTGAGAAAGAGTATGGCCGCACAATGAAGATGAGACATGATCGACTTCCACCTATCCCATCACCCGCGAGAAAACGACAAAGCTCAAGCCTGTTCTTTTGGGGTTTCTAAGATTTTCCTTTTGCCACCAAAGATCGGACCGCCACCTCGGGAACTTCAATTTAACCAATTTGGCCGGACTGTCTCAATTGAAGAGCCGCCTGGAATATATCTCTCTTGGTTTTCTAAGGGGAGAGGCATTGCACCCTATCAATGATATGCGAAATCTTCAAGATCGCTTGGCTGGTAATAAACCCACAGTCCAACTCCGTTCGGCTTATCCAGTGTGTTGCAGTTCGAACCATGCCAACTTGGTTGAAAAATCAATTCGAGTGTACATTTCGGCATTTGGTCTATTGTGCACCATCGCAATGTGCGTTTTTTCAGTTCTCTGTCTCAGACCTGTGGAGGCTGTCAGTCTTGGAATGGGCATCTCTGCCAGTGGCACACCCTTCAAGCACCGAAGCAGCATTTGTTACCCCCGTCCGGCTATTCTACAGCGAACACTGAACATCGCAACAATACCCTTCCAAGCATATCACGATTCTGGAGTCGTTGGGCTCTGAAACAATATAGTTTTAATCTCAACCACTTTGTGCTGAACTCACTGTTGGGAGAATCATACGAGCTAGAAAGATGGAACAAAGAACTTACTCTTGTCTACTTATCTTGTCCAATACTCAGAATAAGAATAAATATAGCTATCCCGCTCGTATCATTCTCTTCGCATCCAAAAAGAAAGATATCAATTTATTCAGCATAAACATTCAATCCACTCACTTTATGATTAATCGTGCTCCGGTTTGATATGTCAGAATTCCATCATGAACCTCCATCCAGATTCCGTGTTGGCTCTGACCTTCTGCAGAGCTATAGAGAGACTTCTCCTGGTACGACCGGATCGGCCTAGAAGTGAAGAAACTCGCCGTTTTTTTCAACGAATCCAGATAGCTATTATACGATGGGAACAAGCAATTCATGAACAGGACCGACATCATCAAGATTCCATCTTGGATCATATCAATAGGGATGAAGATTTAGTCCTTGAACAAGAAAGTCAACCATATGAGGTTGACCATCATGCCCTGATTTATTGGCACTGGTCTCTTGAAGACACTGACTCGGAAATTATGTGGATAGAGTATCTTCCCACTCATGGATTGCTCAACAAGATTTACATTAGTATCGATAACTTTTTATACACGGCCAGTGCCGAGGCTGTGATATCAGAAGAGCACGCCACCACGCAAGCGACAATAGATACGCGTTCTGAGATTTTTCTTATGGCCTTGGAGATAAGTATCATCCAATGGAATCACGCAAGTCGACGTCAAGATACTGAACCACCACGGAACACCCAAATGATATGGAGAAAGCTGAGCCGGGTCTCGCTGACTGCAGAATATCCAGATAATCAATTAGCATGTCCAATCTGCCAGACAGCTTTTGAGACAGGTTGCATGTTTGCTGAGTTGGTTTGCAGACACAGGTATCACACAGATTGTATTTTAGAGTGGTTGATACATAGGGCCGTCTGCCCGATGTGCAATAGCGAGGTATAACACCGTTCTGATATCGCATTTTGGTCTATCAACTTGAAGCCTTCAAGTTCTTCCAAGTTCCTGCTCTTGTTCTTCTTTTTGCTAAAAAATTATTTAGTTCCGGTTTCAAATTGTATAGAAATTTCTCTGCTATTATCAAAATTACTCCCAGAACCATTTCGATTGCCGAGGTGGTTGTTTCATCTTCGGTGCAAATCCAAGTTCACCGACCCTGAGATTCGGTTGATTTTTTTTTCAGGCAAGAGAATTAGACGTATTCAGTAAGGGCCTACATTACTTGCGATTCCATCATGACGGGTCGACAGTTCGAAAATTTATTATTAGCACTGGTAGTTATTGGAGCGAGATTACACTTGGCCTTGAGTGAAGAGACATTATTTACAGTACGTAGTAGTCTGGTGTGAAGATCATCAAATATTGTACAGAAACCCTGACCCCATTGTCAGTGACCGCCCCATGGTGTTTGTTAGTAATGTTACAAGATCACAAGCCTATGATCTAAGAGTCAAATATGAACGCCGGCCAATGACATGTCCTTCTGCTGACATGGTTAAAGAAGATCCAGCCTCGCAACATGCTTATTCTGCATCCTCAGCGGTCGCACGGCGCTTGTACGCCTGTCGAAGCTTCTTTTTATCATTATGCTTCTTCCAGCTTGGGATATTTTGCCCCTTCTTCCGCTTAGGGATATCAGGAATGTCCGATAGATCATCGTCTTCATCAAGATATTCTTCATCTTCCTCGTCGCGCTCCAAGTCCCCTTCCTCATCCACCTCCCGAGAAGCAGCCTTATCTGCTGCCCGGCGAGCCAGACGCTCCTTCTTGCCTTCACCGTGTTTTTCGCCCAGGTTCAATTTGCGGGGAATGCGAGTCTTTGCACCCAATGCCCACAAATCACCCCAGTTCGACTTGCGCGCATCACGATACGCCTGACGGCTGTAAGAGCGGGGCACGGTCCAGCGCTCAATCTTTCCGGCCGGTGTGCAGAGGTCAAAAATGACATGGCCTCGACGTTTCAACGGCGGGTAAACTGCGCGAGGGAGTGAAAGCGGATGGAAGGGGCTAGTCGGCTCATCAAGATGCTCAAATCCCTCGAAAGCCGCATCGGTTACCTCGGAATTCTGCTGAATATTTTGCTGTTGTCGCAAGTCCTGACCCCTTTGCACGGCAATATAGCTGAATTTGATGTCTTCATGGTTGCGGTCTTTGGCTCCCATTATGCGTTGCAAGAATGGGGGTCGGATGTATCGTTGCTCAAAATGGCAGTAGTCTTTGCGGCCCTTAGTGGGACCCGCAGAGTTGTGCATGGGACACGTCGAGTGATTGGTGCAGGGCGCAATAATCATACCAGATTCCTTCTCAATGGTCCGACTGCTGTCGGGAGAGTCAAGGAAGTTCTCATACTCGGTCGAATTGGGGCTTGCAATGTGGCGCTTGAGTAGCATTTCACGCGCACCAGCGATGCATTCGAAACCCTTCTGGCGGCCCTTCTCAAGCAGAACGAGAACACCTCCATCCGGGTTGAGGAGTTGCCAGAGGTTCTCTACATACTCCTTTCGTTGGTAATCCTCTTCAAACCCAAGAAGGGAGTGCGGCGCAATGATGACATCGTACTGCTTTCGCTTGGGAGCAGCACGCGAATCGTCCAATGTAGGCTTCTCACGTACATGAAGATAGTCCGGTAGCCGAGGGAGGAAGCTCGTGTTATCGAGCATTGCACTAGCGCGCAGACGAAGTGCTTCGGATCCGGTCAATACTGTTGAGCGACCGTAAGGAACGGGTGCGTCTTCAGGGTGATCAGGAACCATAAGCTGATATTCTGCGCGAATGATATCCCTCCAGGCCAATATGCCGGCACCACCACCGCTAGCATCAAGAACATTTGGACCACCTTCCTGAGAAATGAGTTTACGGATCCAATCAGTTCCCAAGCGCTTTCGAACTTCCACAAGAACACTGAGTACCGAAGCGTATATACCAGGGTATAAGGCCGCAAGATAAGCGTTGGCTTCCATTTCTCCCATGTGATGCTGTGACGCACTGATAGGAATGGGAAGTTGGGGTAATTGTGCCCGTGGGGGAGGTGTTGTAGTTGAATTAGGCAGGCCTGGGCCACCGAACAGGCGATGGGCAGTATCAGCGATATGTTTGTTGGAAAACTCCGAGAGGATTATAGAGATAGGACCCGTCACAGTCTTTTTCGGCAGGTTGATTGTGCCGGGCTCTGTCTCAAACTTTCCTTCGCGGGTCAGGGGATGGGATCGTGGAGCAGCGTCAGGGACTGCCTCATTCACAAACTGTTCCATCATAACCTCGCCGCCGAGTTGCTCGGCTACTTCCCGTGTTCGCTGCATGGCAATCGTTTCCTCCAATACCGGGCTCGCATCCATATCGTACACAACTGGAGTATCATCTTGAGCTTCGGCAGATTGTTCAAACTCGATCTCCTCCCAGCCGCCCTGTCCATCCTCGCGGAACAAGCGACCGGGGTCCTTCTCGTCTTCCGGGATGTCCTCGTCTGTCAATTCCCTGATACTTGGCTCTCCGTACAGCGATGTATACAACTGGAGTTCCTCGTCATTCAGAGCGCCGTCAGGGACAGTATCTCCAAACTGCTGACGGACCATCTGCACCCAAGACTCGAGAGTGTATTCCTCTCCATCAATGGCAAGGGGTTCTTCGAGCTCGTCGGCGTTTTCTGCCTCTTCCATCAAGTCCAACTCATCCATGAGTTGTGCCATCTGGTCTTCATTCTCGTTGATGCGCTCGATAAGGGCGTTGATTGCTTCGGTTCCGCTGGGTTCTATCGACTCGGGTTGAGGTGCGGCTGTGGAAGACGAAAGCCTCCGTCCAGACATCGATTGGATTGAAGAGAAGCCGTATCGCTTCGTTTGGAACGGAAGGGGCATAGGTGTGTTAGGTGGTAACTTTTTCTGCGCAAAGCTTCGTTTCTGCTGCGGCGCGATCCAACCTGCAGGTTCGCGGGATGGTCGCGATACAGCTGGGCCCGAGACCAGCGGGCGCAGCAGATGCCGCGCTTGCGGGTGACTGGCTCTAGATGCTGAAGAGCCAGACAACATTTTGCTGGACTAAAGTTGGGGTTGACTTGAGATGGGAGACTAGGAATAAATTCCGAGTCTGGCGGAAGCTCCAGAAAATTGATGCCAAGCCATCACAAACTGCTCCCTGCTGATTGGCCAGGCGGGCGGCCGGCAGATCCAGATGGATTGGGTCGACTCCACTTAGTTCTAGTGTTACATACGAGTATGTACTATTCAACAGGGTTGTTTCAAAGCAGGAGATTAAGGTAGTACCAGTGATTTAAAATTGTATGGTGGTGTATAAATATGCGATTGAAATTATATATAATGGCTGAGGTTTTGAGGTTTTGAGCCAAGAGGTCTACTAGTAGTACTACACAGGATATACCGGTGATGACTTCCAAGACAGAGAAGACATGCGCATTCAAGTTGATCATCGCCTAGGCAGTCGGCGAGACAACTTGAAACATGAGTGAAATATTTGCAGCCTTTTCTAAGCCATACTTCGATTCGTTTAGTTCAATTCATTAAATCTAATCATTTCTCTTTCTCTCGTTCAATTGATCCTCTCCGTTTAAGTTATGCGTGTCTATCATTTCGTTAGTTGGCCGAACAAGCCCTTGCGCTATTGCAACACATACTGATTGCCTTCTTTGGCTCTATCTTTCTGTCTACCCTCATGTGGGGGTTCACATCTCTGGCTATTCGTCTCATCGTTCTCTATGGTATGTTTCGGCCGATGACTCTCTTCTTTTTCCAAGTCACTTCCTTTCGTATACATCGAATTTGTTGACTTTGGCCATGCAGTGGTTTCCTCTAATATTGAGTCAATTCAATTTTCGCACCGGCATGAAATGGGGTCTTGTTCTCACTCTTCTTCTCGTCTGGGTGTGTTCCGATTTGACGCGCCTTCTCCGAGTTCTGGCGTTGTTTTATAGACCCGCGCTCATATCCATCGCCGTGGCTTTCCAAGGGCTGAGGGTCTACGCGAAGAATTCCAGACATAGTTGTTTGGTGGTAAGTCTCTCCATAAGATGGACTTCGCAGCTGTATTTAATGCGAATATATCAAACCCCACGATGGACCCTACTTATCTTGTTTGGTGTGGTGGCGAAGGGGGATGACGTAAAAGTTGGCCAGCTAATCATGCCGATCTACAGTGCTGTACAGTATTTCTTTTTTGAAGCTATGTGACTGCGGTCACATCACAATTGCCCTGTAAAGTTCAACAACATCATTGAAAGCATTCTCCCATCAGTGAACGAGTTTTGCCGGAGAAAGAAATGCCAAATTAGATTGCCAAGTGGGGCATCATTACGGAGCAAGTGATGTCGGGCCAACCTCAGGTGTGTGCAATTACTACTAGTAAGCTTAATCTTAGCCGCGAGTCTATTGGGAACATACAATGTTTCGGTGCATTCATTGGGATGGGGCTTAAAAGATGACTGGGGTAGTATTACGTTTTCTCATGAACGTTATAATGCGGGAATAAAGTGATGCAAATCATGCCGTGGTCAGAATGGCCAGAAATACAGTAGAACACGATGGGTGTAATAATTAGCGCCAAAAAAAATGGAGTAGATCACCTTTCAAAGGCCAATCTAGGGTATGTATATTCTTCAATAGGAATCACTATGGGTATCTATAAGTTGATTTCTTAGACCTCGCTCTCCGTGTCGTCGTTGCCCATGAGCACCCGCAATGCGCCGACCCAGCGCATCACCTCATGTTCTAAGGCCGTCAATTTGGCCATGACCGACATGAGGCTGGGATCTTGACTTTCAACTCGGATCTTTTCTCGGACGTGAACCTCGTCACCTTTCCACATGAAAACATCGCCTGCTTCATCATGCGCCCGTTGTTTACTACCAAATAGTCGATCCCGCAGGGAGAACCCGGTCAAAGAGATGTCCGAGGCGAATGCGGATGGAGCTTGCGCTACGGTATTGCTTTCAAGTGTACGGACCAGAAGAATCAAAGCAGAGTCTGCAATGGAGAGGTGAAATGACAGGTTGGGTGGAGGAGGAGGGTCAAATATCTGCCGTGTAAGAAATGCATTAGCTGGGGGTTTCTCCAGGGTCATACAATCGGCCATTGATCGAGGGAGTAAGGGATGATTCTACATTATCAGAGACACTGGTCTCCCACCAGTTGCCCCGCACGTCCCCGTCGCCCTTCAGCATCTGCCGCGCCTCGTTGATGGTTTCATGCAAGAGATGCAGCTGGCTGAATATAAACCCTGCATCGTGGGGGTCCCCCGTATATGTGCTCACGTCCACAATATCCAAGCTCTGATTGACTAGGTTTCGGACCGACACGAGCTGTTGAAGTACCAAATCGGGAGCCTCGGGGGATTGTGAGAGGGTCAGGCGGGTGCTAGGGGAACCGCGTGGAGGGGGTAATGATTGTAGTCGGAGCTGAACATCCTGTTTGATAGAAGATTATTAGTATTAGGCCAAGCTGGCGCTGCGAAGGGAAGATAGACCTACTACTTTGACTAGCTTCGTCCCAACCCGTGTCACGAAGCCCTTGACATTTTCAGATCGTACTGAGGAGAGGACCAGGGTTGACCCTGGCTCCTGGGGCGCGAGGAGGGCGGCGCACTCTTGGAGGCCTTCCTTCAAAGAAACGAGTGATTCCTGTAGCGATTGCAGTAGCCACTGAAGCTCCCGAGCCTAAAAAATGAGGAAGTTGGCCAACAGCTCCACCGGGATGGTCTGATCCCTGAGGCGATCCTTCTTTGATTCTGTGAGGGCCAACCAGAGCCAAGAATTGTAGATCGCCGCAGGTTTTGAGAAGGGCCACTTTTCTTCAACGTACCAATGCGGAATCCGCCTCTCGGTTCAACCGGTCGGGCGGCAGTGGGGGATATGCCCAAGTCGCCATGGCAGTGCGGTGCGGTGCGGTGCCGGTGCGGTAAGGCGGTAATAAGAAAGCAACGTGAGGAGAACTAACCTTTCACGGGACCAAGATTTCGATACGAGCAAGGGAAAGGCAGAAGAGTTTTGATCCACGTCACTGATGGGGCTTGCAGCTGCACCATGGGGGTTGTCCAGAGGGGAGCTGCAACGTCGGTGGGCGTGAGTTGTGAGGTGACCGAGCCAATGCTCGTCATGGACGAAGGGAGGCTAGCCTTTGCGGGGACTAGTGTCGAGTTAGAGTGCACGCTAGCCCAGAACAGCTAGCCGATCAGGTGCAAGCATGACGTCGATGATCCTCACGATTTTTGATCTATGAGGAGCTGTCCTTATATCAGGCAGATGGGAGAGAGTTCGCCCGGATACGCCGGCTGCCTGACTCGTCTTGCAGTACTTTTCTACCTTCGAGCTTCCATTTCTTCCCCTTGGATTATCTCCCTCCTTGATACTCGACCCTCCCACAGCTTTATCACCTCATCTCAATCCATTGGAATTTTGGGCATCAAACAATCCCTTCTGGGCGCCAATTTTGAAGCTATCGCACATACCAACAAAGAAAAAAAAAAGAAGAACTACCTCTCTCAACCTACAAAGACTCTAATCCAGAGATCGATCGCAATGGGCCTCAGCAGTACGTGCGAACAGCTTTCTGATCAAGAATCGATGTCTTCCTAAAAGCTTCGTCGTAATCTAATTGACTTTGTTCTGCAGGAGCGTCGTTGGGCTTCTTGGGCCTGTTCTTCATGGCCGGCTCGATTCTATTAATCTTCCTTACACTACTAGCGGGCACGCGCAACAGCACTCCGCTCAATGAAGTGTACTTCCTTCAAGCCAATACCGGCAATATCCCAGGCGCACCGGCTCTCTCGCGTTGGACATTCTGGAATCTATGCGGAGTGACAGATGGTGGTAAGAATGACTGTGGTAGTTCGCACCCAGACTTCCCCTTCGACCCTCCAAGCCACCGCAACTTTGATACCACGGAGAATGTGCCCTCGCAATTCATTGGGTAGGTCGAATGAATGGCTCTACCCGTGGTGAGATTTTCCGCTGACAATTTATAGTACAAATCACTACTTCCTGATGACTCGCTTTATGTTCCCCTTTATTATTATTGGTCTGTTCTTCGCCGTGGTTTCTCTTTTCACTGGCTTTCTGGCCATGTGCACACGTATTGGCAGCTATCTCTCTGGATTCGTCGCCTGGCTCGCATTGACCTTCCAGGTCATTACTACCTGCCTCATGACGTATGCTTCAATTGCCCATCAAATACAATTTTGAACCGTCCATGCTGACTCTGTATTTAGTGCTGTCTATGTGCAGGCCCGGAATGGCTTCAAGAGCAATGGTCAAGATTCCAAGCTCGGTGTCAAGGCTTTCGCTTTCATGTGGACTGCGAGCGCCTGCCTGTTCCTCTCGTGCCTGATGTACTGCCTCGGCGGTGCGGTTGGCCGCAAGGATGATGGCTACAGTGGGCGCAAGGAGCGCCGTCGCGGATTCTTCAACTCCGCCCGATCAAACAGTGTGCGAAGCCAGAAGAAGGAACAGGAAAACTACGCCACCGGAGCTGCTTAAGCGTATATGCACATCCCCAGGCCGGCGTTGCAGGCTCCCGCCCCGTCGCTTAATCAAAAGTCGCTTCATTTGTTACAAAGAAGCGACTATCCTGACCGTCAAGCACACACGTTGATATCCTCGATCTATTCAACGTCCCGTCTTCTCATTATCGCCGTACACGATTTCCCACTGCGCTGATATCCCTTCGAGTGCCAACTCTCTGGGCGATTTCTCTCACCTTGTCTTCATCTTGTTTACGGTATGCTTCAGTGATCATTGAATTCTTGAATGAAGCACCGCCCCACCTTCATCCTCACGCTCCTTTATGCTGTTACGAAATTATACGATCGTTACTGTAATACCTGCCTATCGATGCCGCATGCCTTCATGGCGATGGCGCTACTAGCCTGGTTTTTTTTTCTTTTTCTTTTTTGGTCAATGAATTGTTGACGAGCTCATGTTACAATGGTTTCCCGAATTGTTGGAGTCCGATGTCCGTTCTATTATCTAATCTAGTTGTAATATAATTTCTAGTTGATGTCAGCAAATCAGCCTTTCTACTCGGCAACACCTACTGCCGAAACAGAAATTTCGTCATAGCGTAGACGAAAAAGGAGGGAAGTTTGGAAACAATCTAGGAACCCGAGGGTGTTCGTCATCGAGTCCTTGAGGTGAACAAAGGCTGGAAATCGAGAGCTACGGACCATGGATCAAATAATGAACATGTGGAAAATATCTTAATTGGTTACTTCCAGTTGTGAGTCTATAAATATTTGCAAAACTCGAAGAAATAGATGACTCCAAAAAGATAATGACGGGTAGACAAAAAGGGAAAAGGAGAAACAAAAGCACAGCCTCTATCAGTCATGCATGCATCATCACACCATAAAGAGATCGGTTTTTTTTAAGGGGGTGTCATTTAAGAGGAGCCGTTAATGGCACCACGGACGGCAGTAGAGCCACCGACCTCGCGCACGGCGATCTGCAGACCCAGGTCGGGGTTGACGTGGACCATGACCTCGACCTTGGCGCCGGCCTTGACACCCTTGACGGCGAGCTCGGCAACGGGCTTCTCGGTCTTCCAGACGATCTCACGAATATCCTCCTCCTCCTCGTCATCCTCGTCAGAGAAGTCAGAGTCCTCGTCGTTAGCGGGCTTCTCCTCCTTGGCCTTAGGCTCAGGCTTAGTGACCTTGATGTCGCGGGCACCCTCGCACACGCGGACAAGTACATCACCACCCTCCTTGGGAGCAACGTACTGGGCAATGCGGCGGGCAGGAAGAGCAGTCTCGGCATTGAGAAGGGGCTGGAAGGTGGTGTCGGTGTTAGAGCTGAACTCAACGCCGATGGCCTTGCTCAGGTGGGGAGTAACAGTGACCATGGGGTGAATGGACTGCTCAATGTCCTCGTGGTCGAACTCCTGGACCAGAGAGGCCTGGAAAGCGGCACCACGGGCAGACAGCTCGGAGGGGTTGATGGCCGAGGTGAGGGTGGAGGGGGCCAAGATAGCGGTCTTCTCGGGGAAGATGTTGCGAGCAAGCTGGGCGATCTTGGGGGTGTGGGAAGCACCGCCGGAGAAGATGACCTACAAAAAGATTGATATTAATCAAGGGTACTTGAAAAGTTTAGCAATTTCACATACCTCATCAATGTCCAGAACATCGAGATCGGCCTTCTTCACGACCTGCTCAATCAGACCGGTGAACTGGCCGAAGACCTTGCCGGAGAGCAGCTCGAAACGGGTACGGTTAACGGTGGAGCCGAAGTCAATGCCGTTGGCCAAGGACTCGATGCTGAGCTGAGCGTTGGAGCTCAGGCTGAGAGCCTTGCGGGTGGCCTCACCCTCCAGCTTAAGCTTGGCCAGGCCACGGGCATCTTCGCGGGGGTCGATCTTGTGCTTCTTCAGGAACTCCTTGGCAAAGTGGTCGATAATGATCTGGTCCAGAGAGGCACCACCCAGCTCGTAGTCGTGGGCAGTGGCCAAGATGGTGTAAATGCCACCGCGGCAGGCAACAACGGCAACATCAGAGCGAGTACCGCCCAGGTCAGCCACAACAGTCAGCTTGTCGGCAACAGTGGCCTCAGGGCGGGCATCGTAGGCCATGACGGCAGCAACGGGCTCGTGGATGAGTTGGAGGACATCAATTCCGGCAGCCTTAGCGGCGGCGACGAGAGCCTCACGCTGGGCATCGGCGAAGTTGGTGGGGACGGTGATAACGGCCGCGTTGACCTCCTTACCCAGGAAGTCAGTGGCGGACTGCTTGAGACGACGAAGGTGGCGGGTGGTGATCTCAGAAACGGTCGCAGAGTTGGGGGTCTCGCTGGGGGTGTCACGGATGGAGAAAGCAATGGTCGACTCGCTCTGCTGGGGGTGGGCAGAGGCGTGGCATGGGGTCGGGTCAATGGACTTGAAGTCCTTGCCCAGGAAATCCCGGAAGTATGCGACGGTGTTGCCGGAGTTGCGAATGAGCTGAGCCTTGGCCTGAGTACCGTGGTACTCCTCGCCCTCGATGTAGGAAAGAACGGAAGGGATTTGACGGTCTAACAGAGTCAGTTTGAAATGATTCGGTGTAGATATGCGGGGGACAAGAAAACATACCACCCTCCTCGTTAGCGATGACCTCAGCCTTGCCGTCCTACATAATTCAAATATCAGCGATTAGTTTGATCAGAGATAGAGCGATGCGACGTACAGCAGAAATGCGAGCAATTGAACTGTAAGAGTTGCCAAAGGAGATACCGATAGCAAAGCGCTCCGCCTGAGCGGCGACACCGTTGACTGCGTCACCCATTTTAAATGTGAAAGAGAAAATTCGTTAAAAGAAATGAAGGGAGAAATTCCACGACACAGTGTGTGAAGGAGAATAGTCGGGGGGGGGGGAAGTGTCCGACGAAGGGGTGAATGTCTTAATAGCGGGGGAAGCCAAATCGAAAAATTTGAAGATTTTCGGCGGAAGCGTGGCTGGTGCTTATCGATAGCAGTGTGGCGGTACAACCAACCACAGGGCAGTCCGTTACTCGTAATTTTTCAAGGTTACCACAATATCCTAGGATGCATTACGAGTTGACGAAGTTTCTAGTTCTTTACTATGTACAGTAACATAATTCGATCTTGATCTTCCAATTCCAATTCCAATTCCAAAAAAAATTAGCTTCTGAATCTTTGTACTTATTTACTTCTGATTCCTAGATCCCGTGGTCCTTGTGGTTAAGTTCCTATAGTTGTTAGGTTAGGGACTTTTTACCGCGGCGGCAATCACATGTCACGTGCTGATAAGCACTACGTTTTCTTTGCGCTTAATATCCTGGTCGCTTCAATACTCAAGTTGTCTATTTCCAACAGACCTGGAGCCTTCACAATACTGCTATTTACGCGATGTCTACGCCCCTCATCCTGCTCCCTGGTGACGA